GGTTTTGTAGTAAATCTAAGAATAGCTTTATCAATAATCTCTTTGCATCTGTTCTTTGAAAACTCAAGGGCAAGGGAGAAAGATCTTAAAGTAAAGAGTATCTAAGTCTGCTCTAGGGTTCACTGTTAATTTTTGTAGCACGCTAATGATAACTTTCTCCTTTTAGAGTGTCTATACAAATGAAAAACTGGTTTTTAAGTATCGTCCTTAAAAGAATGCTTTTAGGCAGAACCACAACTTCTCAAATTCTGGAGCAGTCTCAGATGGTGGAAGTGCTTTGATACTTCTGTTTCTGCAGAGGCTTAGTACTGGTATTGCATTTTACTGTCCTGTTGAAAGATTAATACAAATTATCTGACAGATAATACAGGAGTCTCCTCCAGGGGAGAGGGAGGACCAAGACCCTAGTTAGTTCTGATCTCTTGGTGAGCCTCTGAGGAGGCAAAAGAAATGCCAGGCTGAGCTGCCTTTTGTTTTCTTACAGCTTCCTCATTCCCCTTCTGATTAGCTCTGTTCCTCAACGGTCCCTTTTTTAAAGGAGAAGGAAGCTCTGAGTAGCTAGCTTTATTTTTGATGGATGATAACTATTTAACAATTAATTCAAGATTTCCAGTGGAGTTCTATTGGAATATTCTTGGTGTGATCTGTCCCCAGGTACTTAGTGAGAGGGAACAGGGAAGATGGAATCAGACTCTTCTTTAGTTGGTGTACAGTGATAGTATGAGAGGCAATCAGCACAAGTTGCAACATAGGAAATTCTGGTTAAACATGCAGAATTCTTTTTTCACTTTGTGGACCAACTTTGATAGTTTGAATCTGCATCCTTAGAGGTACTCAAAACACAAGTGGACAAGGCCCTAGGTAAATCCGATTCAGTTGGACCTACTTGGGATGGGCCGTTGGGCTAGATGGCATCCTTTCAACCTAAATTATTCTGACCATTGAAAACAAGTGTAGCCAAGGTTTAAAATCTACTTCTGTATCTTATGTTTTAATTTATCTAAGACTTCTTATAGTTTATCTTCATTGTTTTCTTTGCTTTTTTGTAACAATGAATAACAATGTTTAGTGATATTACTTTTTTAACCTCTTAAAAGCTAATCCTTCTTTCATTGCAATTTTTTAATAAAGCTCTTGGCTGTGGCACAGTTTGTTCATTTCTCAGCATAGGCAAAATTGTTCTGGCAAAATATAATTTCATTGGTATCAACCTACAAACTAATCTGGCCATCTACCTCTACAGGCATAATCCGTGTCCATGTTATTTTTTTGAGCTTCCCATGTAGGGAGAAATTTTGTTGTCCAATGCTCTGTTAAGTCTGCTACGCTTACAAGGATATAAATTCCAAAATTAGCATTCTCAGAAAGCAAGACTTCAACATTCACCAGAGGGTTTACATTAAAAGGAGCAGGAAAGGAGGTTTGTTAGACTTTTATTCTCAGTCATGTTCAATAAATTTAACAAACACTTCTGGTAGCCTGGGCTTAAACGCTTGAATTTGACCATTTGGGTTTTTAAGATAACAGTGAGCTACATATCTCTTCAATGTAAAGATAGTCAACTTTTGACACTAGGTTCGAGTCCAAGCTAAAGTAGAGCAGTTTTTTAGTAATGCTCACTTAGCTGTAGCCATTTAAAATTTTTTGCTCTTGAGGACTATTTAATCTTGAAAGCAGTATGCAACAGATGATCTCAATATTTATATCGTCTTCCATACTCAGACTATTTGAATCTATATTGAGTATGTTAGTAATACGAGATGGTTTTGGATAGCTGCTCTTATAAAATAAAAATTAATGACAGTTGACATGCAGGAACCTTCCTCTGGCACGCTTTCAGTTGACCTATCTATGCTGCTTCTCCCATAATTCCATTTATGGGGAAAATTGATTCCATCCTGTTTTCAGACATGCCTTCCCCTTCTAGGGTGTTCTCAGGGTGTTTCTGGGTGCTCCAGCACAGAGCCAGTTATGTGTCATTTGGGAGGCATGGGGAATAAACATAGGCCACAATGACAAAACGCAACGTAGCCTTAGGTGCTCTGATTTCCTTGAGCATGCAGTAGGAGAACAGTCAGTTTGGAGGCTGATGTTCCCTTACTGCTGAAACAAGACCTGTTATAGCACTATGCAAGAATTTGATGCATGTCAGACTTCTATACAGAATCAACCTCAAAAGCAAAGAATACTATTAGTTTTTTATAGCTTTAATATTTTTGGCAACTGGCCAAATTGCTTTTTTCTTCCTATAAAGAAGCTGAGGCTGTGAACATGTGGAATAGGGTCTAACTTGGTTCTGAACATGCCTGTTAGTTTCAGGCTAAACCTCTTCCATAAGGTGACCAGACCTCTCATGTGGAAAGAGATCATTCCCTTCTTTCTCTTTCACAGTAAACAAAAAATCCTTTCAGAATAAGTGTTGCTATCTTGCTTGCTCTTTCAGTTCATTTGCCTCATGCAGTTGCACAAGCATTTAGTAGTGATGTGCTCTTTACTACTGAGGAGGGAATGTGGAATCCTGTGTTACTGAAGAAATCTGCTTTGGGAGTGATGGCTGTGAAGATGGGAGTAGGTTGGGTGGTAGTTGTGTGTTTGGGTGGAGGTGTGGACAGCTGTGTGCAAGTTTTGTGTCCTTAACTTCTTTTGGAGAACTAATTTTAGCCTAAAGATGCTTTAAATGTTAAGAATATTGAAAAAAATGTATATTGTGAAATGATTTTTATTTCCATTTTGAAATGTTAAGGTTATTTCTGTGTGCTGTGCATGTAGTTCTCCATACCTATGTGATCATAGGTTTCCAAGCCTTCTCATAATAACTTTTAATGATGGTTTTATTGCACTATTTAAAAATACTTAAATGATCCATAAAATCATTCTTTTCCCCCTCATCCCCCCCTCTTTAAGGGGGGGAGGGGGGGACCCAAACAGAAGGAAGCATTGCCAGCTTGTCACTAGAGTAGCAGCTAGAGAAAATTATCTGGGTCAGTGTTGGTTTCACATTTTTATGCGGGCGGTGCAAACACATAGAGTTCAACAGCTTTTAGGGAGGAGGATTTGAAACAACCTCTTATGAAAAAGCAGACAGTTCTGTTTTGTGTGGCCTTAGCTTCCTCTTTCTCTTCAGAGAGCATCCTGGGCAACACTTTGTTCTGTTTGTGGATGACTTATCGGGAAACAGCTAAGGGCTCCAGTCATATGGTAGGTATATGGTAGGTCTCTGAATGAGAGGAACCCTGTAGACACCCATCATCAGTGGATACAAACGTTAGCTTTACATATGTAAACAAAAACGTAGCTGATTTTGAAGATAAAGTTCTCTGCTTTCATCTTGTGCGTGTCTACTGCTCTGGCTTCAGGTTAGCACCTCTAGCATATGAACGCTTTGACTCCTTAGGGTAATAAAAGTGTCACTATGATCAGAGCAGGAATGTATTTATATCAAATGAGAAGGGAAGAAGAAATAATTTAGTGTCTCTGCCCTCGAGTTCTAAGCAGTAGCTATATGGTTGGCAAAAGATCTCTTCCTAAAGAGCCCATTGTCTGCAGGAAAGTTTTGTGATTCTTCAAGGACGTCTGATGACTGTGGAGACAGTTATCCTTTCAATTATAAAATAACTGAAAGCATGATCTTCCTGCATTGGCCTGTGCGCTGTCTGTCCTGAACAAGTAGTTTATGAATGATTTCCTACTTCATTTTGGACAGAAGTGAGATGAAAGATGAACTGTTTGTATTCTTGTCCATGCAACAAGAACAACTTGACTTTTCAGGGGCAGTTCTAAATTTGAGGCTTTTTAGTTGGAAGGGATATTATTTTATTATTAATTTTGTATTAGAGTCACCAGAACTAAGATTAGAACTAGAACTTGTCAGCGTTTAGCTCATTTTCCATCCGTGGTAAATGGAAGGTGAGCTGTCTGTCACAATTACTCTCCCTCCCACTGAACACACCTGCAGCTAACTGGAGGTGTTCTTCATGCTGCTGGAGTGGTAACTAGGACTGAGGATGGGTTGTCCTGTGCCTGTTGGGTGTGAGCCTGTGCACCCAGCAGTGACCACAGTCCTGTAGTTCTTAATCTGTTTCAAGACTGAGGTTTCACCAAAGGTTTACAGAACTGGAGCTAGGCATTTTAAATTTAGTATGTTATACAGATGCATAACTTACTGTGCTTGGTGTCTATTTTCACCTCTAACTTTCGGTTGCTGTTATCCATTTAAATTTGCTGATGTACTGATATATTGTGTGAATACTCAGCCTTTACTCTGCAGAGTTTTTTAGTCTCTCATATTTCCTCTGTGTTGTGAATTGGTCATATGCCCTTTTAGTCTCAGCAGTGAAACTCATTGCATATCGTACCCATTGCTTTCACTAACTGCGCTCTTTCTCTTTCTTCCTGGAAAGTAAGTGGGTATTTGTCCGGCTGAAACCAAATTATGAAATGTGTTCTGTTCTCAGTCACTGTCAGCATAATTTCAGATGTACTCAGGAATGTCAGACATCGCTTAGATCTGTTCTTTATTCCTGACTCTCAGATATTCAAATTAGTGCATGTAAATGTGGAATCTGTTTCTTTCTTGATCTCTTGTATTTTAGCAAGTCATATATTACAGATTGCTTTGTCTTGACAAGTGACTTAAATGTCCTTTGACCTGATCTTGTGGCCTCACTGTGGTTTCACAGGCACAGACCTAGGTTAAGGATTGAAGAATCTGCTGCCTCCCTTGTGTGAAGCTTGCAGAGTTTGGGGAGACAAGTCACCAGAAATACTTGGTTTTGGTGAAGGCTAGTTTTCTGCTATCTCAGACTTGTAAATGGGCTCGTGTTCACTTATGTGGTTAGAACAGAAAGCTGGATAAACCCTAAAATACTGTCTTCATGTCAGCTTAGTCAAGCTGCTAACCTTTGAGTTGTGTGTTGTATATTGTAAAGGGAAGCAGTAAGATCGTTCACGTAGCTTGCTTACTTGAAGTTTAACAGTAGCTTTTTTTGCTCTTAAAACAGATGGGATTGGGCCACGAGCAAGGATTTGGTGCCCCCTGCTTAAAATGCAAGGATAAGTGTGAAGGATTTGAGCTTCATTTCTGGAGGTAAGTGACATTAGCTGTCTGAAACTGTGGCTCAGCACTGTAGGCTGTGGCATATGTATGCAAATATTTAAGTAACTTTTTTAAATTTTTTTGTTGTACTTCTCAGACACTTTAAAAACGTGTTCAGGTTCAGGGCTGGGGCTTCTTTACAGCATTGCAACAGAGTATTTAGGTAACCACTTATATATGCTTCATCTGCACTGAAGTCAAAGGTAGTACGTCTGTTGAAGCATTTGCATCAGTGTAATAAGCAGTTGAAGTATGAGTGTAAAAGCATCTCTATTCCTACAGTGAGAGAGATGACAAGGAAGAATATGCTTCATCTCAGTAACAAAATGCGTTCTCAGCCTCTGGCCAAATGCATAACCTTTGATCTTGAATTTTAGTTAAAATCACCTTATCTATATTCAAAAGAAGTTGGAGCTTTGTTTACATATGCGAATGATTTTTGAGGTTTAGGGGGGAAGTGTCATATTTTAAGGAGGCTTATCAGATAGTCTTTGACCTTGGATGATGCATTATTCTTAAACCAATAAGAGCTGATGATCTTTGCAGTAAATAGATTACACTGTGATCTATGCCATTACTTCTACAAGAATTTTCTTTTCCATTAAGACTTCTTGTCTGAGTGTGCTTTGAAAAGTAGTCGAGTGATTCTGATTTTTGAAGAAAAGTCATCACCAATTTCAAAGTGAATAGTCTGCAAAGGACATATAAATAAACAAATGTCAGTAGTGTTAGCATATGCTAGCTGATGAAAGTAATTAAGTTTCTCCAGTGCTGCTTAGCTACACTCATTGTATCCACAGTAGACTCTTCTTTTTTGTAGGCTTTTTTGCTGTAATCTTTCCAGCATGGCCAGAGTGGCATCAAATACAGATAAGGCTTGAGAGATCAAATCTATACCCGAGTATTTGGCTGCTGCTGAAGAATGAGTTTAGATAAACAAATTTTTGCAGTTTGACAGGTTATTATGTGAGGTTATAGTTTCTCAGTTAAGTATCTGTAATATGTAACTACAGAAACAAAATATAAATAAAGGACTGGATGGTTCCAGTAGTGGTAATGTCTTAAGGTAGTCACAACTATTTATTGGTATATAAGACAGGATTAGTTTATGGAAAGGCTTTTTTAAAAAGGGGATTTATGTATGTAGTACAAGAAAAATCTAACAGAACAAAGTTAGCTTGTGTGCATATAAATACTTTGATAAAACAGAATTTAAAAAATGTGGAAGTAAATAGTATTTATCTATGGTTGGAAGAGAAATCTTGTCACTTGAGAGAAAGCTTTGTCTAGAGCCAGTCTGATAGATGGGGAAATACTAAGTGAAAGAAAGCTCTTTTTCTCAATGCTTTCTTTTTGTTTTCTCTTATTCTTAGTTCCTATTGTCAAAGGACCTTGTAATTCCTAGCTTATTTCAGCAGGAGAGAAGTTGGAATAAAGAAGGAATAAAATGCCTAAAGCAATACAGTCATATAATAGCATGTTTTCCAAGTTAGAAAGTTGAATCTCATTCAGTGTCTGTTTCTTGGGGGTATTTTGGGCTTTTTATTTCTTTTACCATTTTACTAGGCTCTTGTGATTAGAGTCTGTTGTGGTAGGTCCTGAATATGAAGCTCTTCAGAGCACTTACTCTGAGTGAGAGCCTGTGGGCAGCAGAAGATTTAAAGAGCAAGTAGGAAAAAAAAAAAAAATGAAAACCATGGTCCCATCATACCAGCTGTTTAGCTGAGATTGAAGTTTTAATTCGGAAATTGGAATGATATAGGGTAATCCATGTAATAGGGAGGCTGTAATATGCCTGAGATGCTGCTTCCTCCCCTGTCTGATACCAGGAATCTACATCTGGAAAAATAGCAGTCAAGGCTTCTGTTCTATGGTGGGTTGGGAAGTTGCTTTTCTGCACTCGAGCTGCTACTGGGGACAAGCAGGATGCAAATCTGAAGTCAATTAATTCAGCCCTGCATAAACGGTTTGCAAAGGAAAAATATATTAATATGTACTTTGCATGATAAATTTCAGGAGTCATCCACCTGAACAGAGGGGAATGGGTTCTGGATATCTGTGTACTTGGCCATCAGAATATCTGTTCACTTAGACTAAAAAACTGGAACTCAATTTTACGTGGAAGGCAAACCAGCAGAAGTGGACAAGAATATTATCTTTGAAGTTAGTAATTAAACTTGAACTGCTTTTGATGGTTCATGCTATGCTTAGTCTCACCTGTAAGAAACAGGTTTTGAACTAGGGATTATGGCTAGAGAAGCTGTTACAGTCAGAAAGCTTAATTGGAGTAGCAATCGTTTGCCAGTGTGTTACTGTATCAGTAGGCCTTGCTTGCAGCTGTGGTCTGTACAGGGTGACACTGCCCTCTCCTGGATGGAGCTGAAGCAGATGACACGATTCTCAATCTCCGCAGTAATACCTGAAAACCGTGGCATGCATCGGAGTGGAGTAGTATAATTTCCTCTTTGTATTTCTACACAAGAGCTAAATTCTGCTTTTAGTCATATTGGAAAGTGCAGGAAAGAATGCAGGTATAGCCATCTGATGGCAGGGCATCATAGTGTCACTACATCATATTCTTCTCTACAGCTGTAGTGTTCAGAAGATACAATAGTCTTCTGACATGTAAGATACAGGACAGCTTGGAATTTGAAGACTTTGAAGGTGCTATAACTCTTGGCCCTATGTGTGGGATAATTATACATATGCAGAACTGTTAAAATTGGCTAGTACAGAAACAGTGATGAACAAAGCCTGTATTAAAACTTGTTCCTTAGTTTTGAAATTCTGAAAGCCTCCCATTGGAAGCTAAATGCAAATTGCTGCGCCAAGAGCCACAGTGATAACCAAATGAAGAATAACCCGCTTTATCTCAGAGTATTAATAGCTGTTTTGCTTTCAAAATTGTCCCTGAAATCAAACTTCCTTTCAAGTTTAGCAGAAAAGTAGGCAGGGTCTTAGTTTGGATGTTAAAATTCATTCAGCTTGCAAAACTGCCTCTGCAAAATGAGCAGGGGAAAAGCTAACTGCAAAAGAATACTACTTGTTATAACATTTTGTTTTTGGGAGCGTATTTCCCACCAGAGGGGAGTGTGGGACTAGAGACAAGCTCCCGCAAGCAAGAGGGAACATTCTGATTTATCTTAGTCATGTATGCCGGAAAATGTAATTGTCTCCTGTGTGGCTTGCAAAGCTCTTTAAAAGCTTCTGGAGATGAGAATCTTGAGCTTGGGAATGACCACTATCACTGTCTGACTCTTCTGTGCAGATGCAATCCCAGGAAGGCAAAGATAGCTTAAAGTTGGCTTTAATGTTCTTTGATATTAAGGTTGTCAGGCAAGTGCTGAGGCATAGTTCAAAGCATTTACAGCTTACAATAGCTGCATTAATATCAAGATATTGTAAGAAAAAGGATCACAGGAAGGGTATTTTATTTCTGTGCGGAAGACAGGAGGCTCAGGTCTTGCCTCAAATACTTGTTGAGGGCTCCTTTGTGCTTGAAAATGCTTCCGCCTGTCACTATGAACTACTGCAAAACCAGTGTAGAAAGGGTGACTATCCATAAGCCAAAACCTAGGAAAACAAGAGGATGGGTGAGATCTGGTTTTGGAGAAGGAACTGAAAGTCCTTGATCCTTGTATTCTGTAGAAAGCCATGACACAGGAATTCACAGCCCTGAGAAGATGGAATTGGCATACCTTCCTTCTTCTTTCTACCTGTCCAAGATCTGAAAACAAGACACAATCCACTAAGTCTATCTTTATCAGTGATATGCAACTTTTAATTCTACAGATGTTGAAGTTTCCTCCCTATCTGTCCTGTTTTGAACAGGAAAGGCTTTCCAACCTGTTAAATATTCCTCTGGTCAAATCTTATCTCCTTTGCTCAAGTCTTGAGGGCTGCAAACACATGAATAGCAGTCTCTGACTATTCCTGCAGTAGTGATTTTTTTTGTGAATGCACTCTAGTGAAAGAAATTTTGGGGGGCAGTGGCCTTCTCTTTTGCTTTCCCTATTATCACCACTCAGTGACAAAGTAGAGAGAGAGAACAGAAAACTCTTTCTGGCTGTCTTCTAGGAAGAGCCAAGGGAGATGAATCTCTCTATGTACATATATCTGTGTGTATATAATGTCCTAGAACAACCAGTTGCTGTGTGAGGTGCTTGCTTTATAACCGAAATTAAAAATTAGGTTTCAGTTCTCAAACTCGTAAAGTGTGAGTTTCTGAGAGAATGGAATGGGGTGATTCAGTAAGATGGCTGTATCGTAGCAAAGTAATGACCAGCTAATCCAGCCTAAGTAGAGGCAGTTGGCATATCCTTCCTGCAGAAGGGACAGTTTCTAATGAACAGGACGGACGTGGCAGCTTAGTGGAAGATATGTGTAAATTGAGACCAGTACTCCATATTCCAAGTTGTGTGTGTAAATGTCAACTGGATATCTTTTAGAGCTGGAAATTTTTCAAGAAAAAGGATTACAGAGAGCCTTTTTTGGCTCTTAGCAGCATATCAACATCTTTATGTGGCTGAGATCCTGTGGAGATTTGGGGAGCAGGCGAAATGGCAACAGCCTCAGGGATTTCCCTGTGAACTTACCAGGATATGCTGGCATCGGCTGTGACTTGGCATCTTCCAAATTCTTTCTGGATTGTTTTCTCCTGCATTAGGAGATTTGTATTATTAAGAAGCCCTATTGACAGGACCACCCCGCTTGCGGTTACAAGGGCTACACTACAAAACTACATCTTGCAAACTGCATGTAGGCAGAATCATGCATTGGACATGTGCTCTATGAATCATTAGCGTAGCCTTAAAAAAAAGGGCAGTGCCTGGCCTCTAATTCTTCAGGCCCTCTTATTCAAAGAGCAAGGAGAAAACATCAGACTGAAATGTGCACAGTCAGTTTCTTAGCTTAAGCAAGTTTGGGGATGGGTGGTGGGGGGAGGATATCAGGCAAGAATCAGGATTATAATCTCATTCTTTTGAACTAAAGTAGAAACCACAGGAGTTTCATGACAGTTTCACAGTAGGACCCAGGAAGGACCTGATGACAAGTTGTATGCTTTCATTTATTTGCAAGTATTTCCTCATCAACTTAATCAGGACAACAAAAAAGATCTTTCAGAAATACTGAAATTAGTCAAACATTTTAAGCCTTCAAAGTATCACTAAGGATAAAAGCAGAGCCAGGGTACTTTCTTATTTGGAAACAGAAACTGGTTCTCAAATATATTCTGCCCTCTGTGAGGAAGGCCTGTACTGGAAAAATTATGTGCCGTTTCATGACTTAAAATGAGCAAGAGTAAGGTTCCCTTGTGGCTCTTCCAGCATTGTGGAAATTTCAGTGGAAGGGCTCAGCAAGCAGTTCCACTGCAGCTTGCTGAGGATGGCTCTTATCCTTCTGGGCTGTGAGTGCAACTTCATTTCTGTTGAACGCTGTATAGACTGATAGGAGCTAGACAAACTGTTGCACCACTGTTGTGACTATGTAGGCAACGTAATGAAGTATTTTCATTCAGATGTGTTTGTAAGGATAGTAGTTCTGAACAGCAGGACTGCAGAACTACTGCACTTTACTTGCATCAGCCTGTGCACCCGAGAACATTTGTTCAGTCACCTGTCTTATTAGAGCACATCCTGTCAAGAGGCAAGGCTAAAATTGGGGCTTATTATTGCTAAAGACTTATGTTAAAATGGAGAAAATATCTGGTAAACAATTGCTTGAATGGAATAACTGCGTGAAGTCAAGTTTCAGGCACATGGTGGGGCATATGACTGCATGTATTAATGAACTAAATTCACAAAAAGGAAGATCTGATGCCGCCAACTGGCTGTAGATTGTAAAGACATGATTAAGAGCTGGTGATAAAGTGTGCATATGATTATACCTTAAAAGATGGGCAAACTGAACATAAATTGCTTTCTTATTCTTTTAATTAGTCTAAGTATTATTTCATAGACTTGTGTAGACTGATGCTGACTATCTTAAAGACCTATATTGCAGGTGCTTGATGAGAGATCCATAGTATCTCTAATAGATAGACTATGTATCTAAATGTTAGGCTTAATGGGCTATGCTTGTCCATGTGTGAATGTTTTATTAAGCTGGGAGATTGCAAAGTGTTTACTAAATATTCACAGATAAGTATTAATTTTGAGATTTGTACCTTTTGTTTTTCTGTCATGGGAGCGAGCTGGAAATCATACAAACCATTAGATAGCCTTATGTATATAGGCTACTTTTTTTTAATATTTATATATATTTAACTTTGATTATTAACTTTTGTAGGGATTTTTTTGTTGCACAGGTGAATCTGTCCTTCTTGACATCATTGTTTTGCTGGCTGTTTCTAGAATGATTGATTTCTAATAGCTAATTTAGCTAATTTTGTTTGGGATGCACTTCATAACTTAGGAAATTATGGTTGCTGGATAATCACATGACCAGGGTTGCATATGTCACAGTAACATGTTGGTACCCCCTATTACAAACCATGGTACCTCTGGTCATGTGTAGTGTGTGCCTTTGGGGCTAGTCAAATATCATTGTGTCTATTGCATGGCCAACTATATGTAGGTCCTTTTTCTTCCTCCCACTTCTGTCATCTAATGGGCCTGCAGTGGTCATGGCATGTTCCTGCAGGCTGGCAGGACACGTACTTGTTACGTGCCTTAAAATAAGGTATGCATCTTGTCTTCGAGATTTGAGAAAGCAAAGTGTAGATAATCGAGAATTAGATGGGTTCTGGTGGGTAGGGTTGAAAAGAATTCGAGACCTGTTTTATGCTACTCACTATATAAAGAATAGTTAATGAGGTAAATATTGTTCATTCTTGTTCAAACTCAGAGATCCAGAAGTGGGACCTGTTTTCTTAGGATATGAGAAGGATCATTAGTTCACATCTAACTTCACTAACTTCCATATACTGTGGCTTGAGTAGAAGCACTGAGAAATTCATTAATGCATAGTAAACTAGCTTGTCTAATCCAAGGTTCTGATTATTAAATGTGGATCACTTAATTATGCTTAAGGTAACACATTATGATCTAAAATCCTTTGATCAAAGGTTCAAATGTGTTACGTGTTATATATTAAAGAATAATTCCATTTATGTCTAAGTTGAACCTTCTACCTTTTAAAGTTGTCATCTGTGGAAATTCTCTGTACAGCATGTACCAGAGTAACTCTGACCTGATTTAGAGCTGTTTGAAAGGCTTTGTCTATATAAGCTAATCACTATTCTGTCTTCTCTTAAATGCTGAACTTCAGGACAGATCGTGGTGGAGCTGCACTATATATACAGCTATACATGTTTTTTCTGTTCTAGGAAAACTGAAAACGCTACTTGAAACACTTGCAACCCTGTGAAAAGCAAATATCATATGTAGTGAAATGCTTGTGAAGGAAACAGTGCAGTATGAAATTTTGAGTGTATAAAGAGAGCCTTACAAACTAAAAGCTCAAATAAGCAATCACTGGCTATCATGTGGGTGCGTTTAGGTCATAACTGATAGGTGACTACCTGTTTTAAGAGGAAAAAAAAAAAAACTGATAGGTGGGTGATAACAGACGTGTATGTACAAGGTCTGTACTGTGGCTTCACTGAAAGAATGGTGTTTTATTAAAAAGTGCTACTATAAGTGGCAAACATCTATATGCTCACCATCTTAGTGAGTAAAGAATTTAAGAGAAGAAATTAAGAATATCCTCAAGAGGTTTTTGAAAAATTGGATAACAGCTCATGTGCCTTAATCAAAGCACTGAAAATAAGGTTTGGGATTCCCAGTGTCGTCACTGCGCATGCAGCTAGTGTGAGATGTAGTTTGCAGCTGGGATTATAACTTTGCTGCCACTTTTCTGAATTGCAGAAAAATATGTCGCAACTGCAAATGTGGCCAGGAAGAGCATGATGTCCTCACAAGCAATGAGGAAGATCGGAAAGTGGGGAAACTCTTTGAAGATACAAAATACACAACCCTTATTGCAAAGCTGAAAAATGATGGCATCCCCATGTATAAACGTAATGTAATGATACTGACTAATCCAGTGGCAGCCAAGAAAAATATATCCATCAATACTGTCACTTATGAGTGGGCACCTCCTGTTCAGAATCAGACACTTGTAAGTCAAAGCTACTTTTTTCTTTGTGTTTAAGGTAGCAGTTGATGGGAGATGAAGTAGTAGAGTTTATCAAAAGGATAAATCTACCTCTGGTAGCTCTTCTGTATGGACCTCTTTTCTTTTCTTCCTAACCAAAAATAAAAATATGCAATGGTACTTGCAAGTCCTCTGGAGTGCAATTTTTCTAACCTGCCCTTTTTAGTAGAACTTGGGAAAACTGGATGTACTGTGTGTTTAAGAGGAAAAAAATTGTCATTGTTTAAAGTTAAGGAGGAACACTGTCTTGCTTATAGCTTTTACTGTATATGGTAAGAATAAGTTCAGTGTTGACATCCAAAAGAAAAGCTCTCTTCCAGTATGTTTGCAGCTCAAATAGATGAGACAGCAGATAGCCTTCTGGGGATTTTGCTTCACTTTTCAAGCTTTAATTGTTAACTCACTGTGCTACAGTGCTTTGTGATCCATGTTGGAATCATATTAGCTCTGACCTGGGTCTGTAAAATATCATTTTTTCAGTGAATGAATTAAACATTCCATATCTAAATTCACTGTTGTCTAACAGTTACAGTTTTCACTTTCTAAGTTTGTCCTTGCTTTATGAAAACAGAACTTTCTTCTTTATTTGGCTAGAATTATTTCTGCATTGGGCTGTGTGCCTCAGGCAAGATATTTCACGTTCTACTTAGTTATCCTGATGATCAATGTTTTTTTAGACAGCTTTGAAGAGACCAGGTGCTATGTAAATGTTAATTATTGTGTACAGGGTTATAACTACTTAGAGTAAATAAGTATCCTTCATCTTGTAAAAGATTTAAAAGGAAGCCTGTCCCTTATGCTGGGAAGAAGCCAATTAATGCATCTGCTGTATTTTTTATCTCCATCTACTATGTTTTGGGAGCTTAGCGTTTATGGAAAGGATCTTGTTTTTGACAAATCTGACCGTCACTAACAACAGTGGAGCTGTTTTTAGTCAGTTGTTTGTTTTAAAAGGATGGGTCTATAGTGGAAATGGCATCTGATGTCTAATTCCTCCTGATTTAGGCTAGACAGTATATGCAGATGCTTCCAAAGGAGAAACAGCCTGTTGCTGGCTCAGAAGGCGCGCAGTACAGGAAGAAACAGTTGGCAAAGCAGCTGCCTGCTCATGATCAGGATCCTTCAAAATGCCACGAGCTATCTGCCAATGAGGTGAAGCAGATGGAACAATTTGTGAAGAAGTACAAGAACGAGGCGCTCGGTGTAGGAGATGTCAAGCTTCCTGGTGAGGTGGAAACTAAAGCTACAGACAAGAATAACGTGAATAACGGTGATAGAGGCACCTCAGCTGCTGTAGGAGCGATGGAGGGCAAGTCAGCAGACCAGAGAACATCTCAGTATGTAAGTATAAGAAATGAAAGGAATATGAGGAATATGGGAAGAGAAGGAAGGAAGGGGGAACAGGAAATGTATGTTAATGTCTGCTCACGAACCCCTGACTGCTAACAGTATTTAGTAAATTACAAAAAATAAACAAGTTCCTAGATCATCTTTCCATACCTGTTGCACAAAGTCTTAGCTAAGAGATACAGTATAGCAGGATGTCTTTTGCAGAATAATGATGAAGAAACTTGTATAGCCTCGAAGGACTAACAGCTACACTCTCCTCAAGAAGAGTTTAGTTTAATTTTAGTAACCTATGTCGCTGGCCTGTAGCTCCTTCTTGGAAAAGCACTGAGATTACACAGCTGACAAGTTGTGTTTAAAATGAAATTAAAAAACAGTAAAGCAACAGCTCTCCCTTCCACCTGCAGCAAACCAGGTTGTATAACTGCACAGCTGCTCTGTTGACTACCCAACTGTTCAGATCGGTCTTCTTTCTTTGGCATGTGATTTCTATCTTGAAGTAGCTCAACAACAATGACTAATGGAAAATTAACCTGTTTTCACTGATATTGCTAAAACAACACTTATGTCTGAACTGCTTTATTAAGGCCATAGCCTGCAAACTTCTGCTGTGCATGTCTCTGCTACCTGTTTATGAATCCTAAATAAGGGTAGGATAAGTGAAGTACCAAATTAAAGTAGCTTCTTACCTTAAGCCACTCTTCCATTGCTTTCTGGTAGTAGTCCTTTTCTTCAGAGTGTAATTTGATTTCCAGAAGTGTTACTGTTTTGTGTTCTTTGAGTTTCAAAATAGGTCTCTAGGTTTCTTAAGGGGGGGGGGGATAAATATTCATGTTCCAGATAAAAGTATATCTGTTAACATGATTGTAGCATGTCTTTCAGTGTCTTTTTTACCAACCTACTACACTACTTCCTACTTTGGATGGAATATGAAGTGAACACCTAAGTTTTTAGCTTTGACCTCTCCACTTGCTATAATCGGTCATCTTCTGTGCTAAATTGATTTTCTGTGGCTGCATTCAGAAATGAATTGGTCTGTTATTTTCACCGTTTTCTTTTCTTGGAGATTCTGACATTATATAGTACTTTAAGAGGTATTTCATAATGGCCTAATAGGTCACTGTCATTTTGTGTAAGCCATTCATCACAGCAATTCTTCACTTATCTCCTTGAGGAGAGCCTACCCCTTGCGTTGTCCGAATTAGTTGGCCAGTAGGGTGCTACCTTAAGTCAAGGGATTACGTGTCCTTCCTGTTGAATAATTGTATCAAAAGTTGCTTTGATTTTACATTACACTTTTTTTGACTTCTTAGGAAGTTTGGGGTGGGGGAAGAGGAGAAGAATATTTTAACTCAATTACCTGACTGAGCATGGCTACTGTAGTTCAGGCCAGACACTTCTTATGACTGTTTGTAGTGATCTAGGAAGTGTATAAGCAACTCAATAGCTCACTGTTTTGCTTCTATGTGGTTTTTTTTCCCCCCAAGGTACTAAATGTACCCCTATTATGTAGTGTAGTATGTTTGTAAAGCTTTTAGTCATTTTTCCATAATCACTTGACCCATCCCAAGATGGTTAATCACAGCATACTGGACAATAGCCATAAGTGACTGAGCAATCCTAGAATGTAGCTTTAAACAAAATGAGTTTGAATTATTAACAGTAAGAAATTTTTCCTTATCAGTGATGGTGATAAGGCTCAATCTTCTCACGACCTATAAGTACACAGTTGTTTTCTTGTCACGCATGCCAGTCTTAGTCTAGTCAGTTAGCTGTGATGGAGGTTCCTTATTCTTAAGCACGTAAGAGTTGAAATTCATGTTCTACGTTATCTCTTGAAAATTTTTTTTATAGGAACTGGACATAATTTCAAGAATATAAATATGGCAAAATGCAGTAACCCATTTAAATAGCGCTATGTCAGTATAAGTGCATCATCGTCAGTATAAGTGCATCATCTTGAGTTGCTTAGTTAAACCTGTACTGCAGCCTCATGTCACATTATTATCTGATCATGGAAGTAAAGTAATGCTTTAATTTTCATCTAGGCAAACAGGATTTATGAGATATGTAAGTAATATAACTGCTATAAACATACCTCTTCACAGAATTACTTAATTTTGTAACAAATTCTTTTCAGTTCTGCTATCGCTGCAAGCTGAACATGAAAGAAGGTGACCCAGCTGTCTATGCAGAACGTGCTGGGTATGACAAATTGTGGCACCCAGCTTGTTTTGTCTGCTGCACTTGCAGTGAACTTCTAGTGGACATGATCTATTTCTGGAAGAATGGTAACCTGTACTGTGGAAGACATTACTGTGATAGTGAAAAACCTCGCTGTGCTGGATGTGATGAGGTAGGAAAGATCAGTCCTTTGTTTTGGAGCATAGGTTTGCCATTCTGAAAATGGAATGTGATTTTTAAGTAAAGTATTATAGTACAGGGGGATGATGTTCCTGCACTGTCCTTGCACTTGCAAGGAGCTAGAATTGTCAAGTAATGGACACTACATTCAGGAAGAGCCACAGATTTGTTTTGGATTTCGAGGTGTTCTTGTGCAGTCTGCAAGGATATGTATGTAATACACAAACTGTTTCCTGATGAACAGACGCTAGGCCTTACTATGTTATACCTTATGCAGAATACAGAAAGCAGACTGCCTGATGTCTTTGGCATTTACTGCTAGCAATAAATGAATTGGAAACAAAGTCAAACTAACACATTCATTTGTGGTGTTGAAATAACTTGAAACAGTGGGCTCTCCAGCAGTTCCTGGGAAGTTGCAAAACATCCTGAGGCTAGCTTCATTAAAGGAAATACTATTCAAATGCATGAACTAATGTTTGTTGTATTTTCCTCATAGCTAATATTCAGCAATGAATATACCCAAGCAGAAGGTCAAAACTGGCATCTGAAGCACTTTTGCTGTTTTGATTGTGATTGTGTTTTGGCTGGGGAGATCTATGTAATGGTGAATGACAAGCCTGTCTGTAAACCGTGCTATGTGAAGAACCATGCTGCGGTAAGATCCTTGCAGGCATATTGCTGCTATGAAAGAAAGGACCTATGGAGCATGAAAAAACTTCTACTTTTCCTCAGTGCTAGAGTATCTGAAGAATGTAAATCGATGCAAATTTAGGCCCAAATCTGTCATCCTTCCTCTCCCCCCCTCCCCCTCCCCCCAAAAGCAACTTCTAAGCCACTGGGTATTTTGTTACTTCATAGACTTGATCTGAAACTACTTAGGAGTATGAGATTTGTAGGAGGTGTCTGAAAACTGCTCTAATATCTATCCTGTCTCATCACTAGAAATATCACCCTCTTTCTGTTAGACAAAAGATGAATGTCTAGTTTGTCAGTTTATGTATTATAAAAAGCCAGCAGTGACAGCTGCAATCTAGGCATTTCCTTATCTTATGTGTATCTCTAACCATAGGAGTTGTAACAAAGCAGACTGACTTATTGGATAAAGCTGGAGTTTTGGGAAAGCATGGTAGTTCTTAATTCCTAGTTATGCTAGGAACTCTACAATCTAAAAGGCAGTTAGTCTGTTCATCTCTACCAATTAAGCAGCTATTTTTTGGGAGTTCAGTCTAATCTGCGTCTAGATTGTTTATACAGTTAATGGAGAGGAACTGTTGTCTCTGGCCAGATGGAGACAGTTAACTACTCTCACCTGCCTGAGAATAGCATTATCTTTTGGAGGGGCTTTTTTCTTCATTAACTGTCTTGATCTAGATGGCTTTGCCAGCAAAAGCTGGATGAGAGGAATTGCATCCAAAACTTTCTAGTAACCTTTAATTCTATGGCATGGCTTTACACCTGCTAATGCCCCAGAAGATATTTTTTAACTTATCTTTCCAAATGTATCTTTTAGTATATGAAAATCCATGCGTGTTTGGTATGACAAGCTATTATCCTAATTTGGGCCTTATAAGGCCACCACCACCATAATGGTCTTAAATTTAGTTCCAGCAACAACTATTGTGCATTTTATTTTACGTTTTCTCCTAGCCTTCATTTTGCTTAAACTTCACTTTAGAAAAGGAAAAAATCAAAAGTCAATCTTATTTAAAAGGTTTCTTCCAACACCTCTCTTGCCCCATTATTTTCCAAAAACATCCAAGAATTTCAGCTGCTCTTAGAATTATGGAGAGGATGTCAATGCTTTGTCTAAGTTTTCATTCTTTTAACTTATCAGATCTGCCAAGGCTGTCATAATGCTATAGATCCAGAAGTTCAACGTGTGACATACAACAACTTCAACTGGCATGCTACGCAGGAGTGCTTCCTGTGTTCCTGTTGCAGCAAGTGTCTAATTGGCCAGAAGTTTATGCCAATAGAAGGAATGGTCTTTTGCTCAGTGGAATGTAAGAAAAAGATGATGTCTTAAGAGAGAGAAGACATGCACAAAACTAAGCATCGCTGTGTTCCAAAGTCTCTTGCATTTCTACTGTAAAGTATATAGTACTGGGGCATTTAAGGATATTGAAAGTATTAAACAGCATTTTCCCAAAGATTTTTTCCTAATGAGGAGAAAACATGCTCTGTAATCTTCAATCCTTAGCTATAATACTTTCTTCTTTAGGATTTTGTTCCTGGGTCTTTATGTAAAATGTTCTCTTGTCACAAATGTAGGAAAAATGTGTTATGAACTACATATACTTTAAGGGAGCTCTTCACTATGAAGGATCTTTTGCTATATCTTGTTTAATGGAAGAAGAAAATGTGAAATATGCTCCATTTTTTCTTGTATGTTAAAAGATAAATATAGCTCTTCAACTTTGACAAATTAATTTATCATTTTTAATAACCTCCCTGCTTTCATCAAGCACTTTAGCCAAAATGATCAATGTTACTGCCGCATACATTTTTGTTTGCTAGACCTCAAGTGGGCAGGGAGAACAGTTTGTGGTTTTCTGGGTGGTGTTTTTTTTTTTTAATTAAGTTGCCTGTAATTGCTCGCTCATTGACACATGGGCTATTGAGGGACAGTGACTACCCTAACATCTAGTTTATGGAGTACCTAGAAAAAACAGTCTAATTCATATTACTTTTTTTTCCTTGCAACTTTTCCTGGCTGGAGATTTTTTTCATTTTGTAAAGATTAAATTTAAACTTTGATTTTTGAAGGGATATAAGAGGAGATCTTGCCCAAATTAAGAAAAAACAATTTGACCTGCCTCTGTGGGTTTCACTTTTATTCTTTCTGAACAGATTTCTGTTTTTATGAATGTTCTTTTCATAAATTGTGCCTTCTGTCAGAGGGATGTGGCACAGAACAGCATGTGTATTTCTGAGAATGTCATCCTGCAAAAGGTAACCAGAGCAGAAAAGTCTTTCTCATAAGACTTCCAGTATTTGAGTAAGAAGATTGATGGCTTTATACTAGCTTTCTAGCTTACTAGAGAAACCAAATGAATTGTTTCTTGAGGTTCCCTTTCTTAAGGATTACAGTTCTATAGTAACTATCTCTCTGTGCTGAACAAAAATGGAGAGTCTTTTACCTCAGAGATGGAGGGAGGGGAAGACTGCAAATACTATGTTCAGCTCTCTTGAAGCTTTATGATGCCTGTGTTGTAACACTTGAAAATAAAAAGAAATTGTTGCTCGCTTGGTGTCTGCTAATTCTGTTCTTGTTGGATTCTCCTTATTGGGTGGTAAGTGCAAAGCATTCCCGAACTTCTGTTCCTCCTTGAGGTTCTTTCCATCTCTCACACACCTTAAGGCTTGCAATATTGTGTCATGTTATCTTTGTGCTTATGGGTGCAAAGTAATTTTGTTCAAACAAAATATAAAACTCTTAAGTTTGATGTGAATTGACTTTTTTTATTCACAGATAAGATAAACATCTTTCAGTTGTATGTCATAAAATAGAATTAAAGTTTTTTGAATTTACGTAGGTGAGGTAATGGGCTGAGAAAACACTTAAGTACTTTATTATCCTCAGAGTACTGCAAAAATAACCCACTGGTGTGAGGTACACTTCCATTAATTATGTTGTCTAAATGGAGACCTAAACTTCAGGTCCATGTTCTGAAAGCCTGAGCTTTTCTCTGAGCTCCTCAGGATATCCCAGAAAGCGTATGCCCAGTGGGGCTGGACTCTTGCTTTAAGTGAAAGTATTTCCATTTTCCTGAAGTGTTCCTTAATCCATGCCTGGGCATGCTGCAAGAAAGCAGTCCACTGTGGGGAAGGAAGCAATGCCTGCCTATTGATCATCTCCAAAGATGGCTTTATAGTGTTTAGGTTTTACTGTTCCTGAGTGAGTCCTCACCCACTCACCAACAGCTGTTCTCTGAGCTGCACCTGATTCTCATAAATGATTTTATTTTTTTAAAAAAAATCATAAATGATTTTATTTTTTTTATTTCACTTCTGCATAGCCTTCACTTAAGAATTGAGGTAGTGCCTGCTCAACCTCTTGACAAGGCTATGTTATAGCCCATCTTCTGGGAGTGGCTGTTTCCATGCCTCTTCATGAAGCATGTGAGCTTGCTGTCTTTAGCTAGTTCTTAAGTCTAATCCCTTTTGCATGTACCTTTTCAGCTGTTTTCTCTGGAACCTGGTGCCTCCAGCTGTCTCTTATTACTGTAAGTTTAATGTGTATACCAGCAATAACTGGGAAGGGCCATGTTGTAAGAAAGTCAAGTGTAAGGTGCAAAGGCTACAGAGGAGAGGCAAAGGTAATGCTCTGTGACTACATGATAGATTAGGAGAATTATTAGGGAATTATTCCTATACTCATTAGGAACTGGGGAATAATTCCTGTACTTGTTAGGAGGTCAAGGTAACGCTTACAGTGTTAGCTGAAAGAATGTCAACATCTTGGAGCTTCACAACAAGCACTGAGGAGGTTTCTGTTCTGTTACTACCGCAATAAAAACAATGAATTCACACTTTTTTTAGTCATGGAGAACCCTATGCATGTGTTTATTTTAGCAACCTAAGACTAGAAAGTGCATACTTCAGTAATACAAGTACCTACTCTGCAGATGAAATTTTGAATCCCAGATATGAAAGTAAAATTCTACTCTTCAGTCTTTTCTTTGATAAGAAAAGTCTTACAAGCAGGCAGTCATCACAACTGCTCTCATCCCTTTTCAGAAAGTCAGTTAACTTGAAGAGCCATCCTGAAGATGCACTAAGCTAACTCTATTTATCATGCTACCACCAACTATCTTATTTGATTTTAAGAGGTTATATAGTATAAGTACTAAATAAAGACAGAGATTCACAGCAGAACACAAGTTTTGACAGAGCCTTGCAATCAGTTTGCATTAGAAGGAAAAGCCCAAACTTAACATTCAGGATGTAACTTTTTGCTTATCTTCTGTTATTTTATGTGGCTATTGAGACAATGAATGTTGCTATGACTCTAAGTTTCTGTTTTTAGAGTAGAAGTGTTCTGATAATTGTCTGAAGAACAAATAGGATTGTATAGTACAGCAAGCTAACAGTAGGAATTAGACAGAAGTGGGGTGGGAGATAAACGCATATGAGCCGTCACTGAATCAGCAATAGATAAATTATTCAGCAGGCTATCTTCCTCACAGATTTGAACATCCTTGCTTACCATTTCTTTCTTCTCACTATTTTTCCATATATCTGACAATCTCACTGCATTTATATGTACTTTTTCAAAGAATTTATTATACCATATATGCCATGTCACCATCAATTCTGGATGGCAACTTGAAATTCCTCCAAACCACTATGAGCCACCAGATGAAAAAGTCCTCAGGTTGCCAATGTGTTTTTTAAGTATACTGGCCACCAAAGAAAATGGAAGTGGGAAGGCATAAATATTGAGCAAATTAAGCACAGTTTAACTAGTGCTGTTGAGGTTTAGGAAGAACACGGTCATTTGTACTTTTCAGAAGTCACAATGAACAAGGTAATACAAATGAAACTTCAGAAGAAATTGAAAAGAATTACAATGCACAGATGTTTTGTTGTGCTGAAGGTGCTAAAATAGAGTTCTTTCTACAGTAATGCTGTGACTCTACATCCTACGTTAGTTAGGAGATTTAACACTTTTTAGAGAAAATACTTACGTTCTGTATCTTCCAACAAGTGTGTATGTATATATGCATATAAAATTAATATGGTTTTATGTGTCTATAGAGATGTAGTTAAGTCCTTTCTGTGGATTAAACCAAATAGCTGTACCTGATCCATAAATCCTCCTGTGTACTTGTAACAGGTAAATAGTTCTGAGGATTCCTGTATGACATATGTTGTAAATATTTTTCCAGGGAGGAGAAAATAAGAGCAGAATCTGTTCTGTGCTGAAGCACACCTATATTTTAACCTTTTCTTTAACCACTTTATATAGCAAAATTTACTTCTATATGCCATTTTATTCCAAACTGCTAGTACATTAATTGAAGCATTTACAGTTTGGATGAAGAAAAGGTGATAATGCCATTATAGCTTTTATGGTACAAAGAATAAGGTTTTCCTCATCCTTTGAGGCACATTGCTACTATCATGTGTTTTATATAAAATCCAGGCAAACTGTTTTCCTTCTGGAGGATGAGGTAAAAGCAGGGCTGTATCAGTTCTATACAGGTCAGTATTTCTGAATATACATGCAGATATATATGTATATATATATTTTCTATATAAAGAAGATATATATAGAAGATAGATAACTATAACCAATGGAAAGTAATATCTGTGTTTGTTAAAATGTTTGCTAATGAGCAAAGCTAATACAGCAATTTCCCCTTTTTCCTACTGAATCCTAGATATGCAGTGTTATGGAACACAGCTGATATGAAGCAAAATTATCAGCTTTATTGGAGCAACGACCCTCATCACAAAATTGTTTGCGGCCAGGACTGACTTGAGATGCTTGGAAGATCTCAACCACCCGTTCCCAGAAGAATGAGTGAGGCAGAGGTGGGAGGGCAGTAAAGCTTGGATTAGCAAACTCCACCAAGCTAGTGTGGGTATGCGATGCTAGAGCAAGCAGTGGATGGCAGAGGAGCTCGTGGCAGCCCAAGGGAGAAACAGTAATGCAGCCAGCAGCAGGATCTCTGAGGGCAGTTCTGTAACACTGGGAGGGATGGAGCCAGGATGAGGCTGCAGCAGCTCAAGGGCAGGCAGAGACTGACTCCAACAGTCTGAGGACATGTTTGTACAAGAATTTTCATGTCCTGGGCCTACGCTTCCACCGCAGCAGAGCCCCACACCTTGTGGCCTCGCAGTGGAAAGCCATCATAAAAATCACCTACACAAGAGCTATCTGCGGGGTCACTGTGGCCAGTCTGGTTTTCTCCTTTCCACGACCAAGCAAAGCAGTCTCAGAGAAGATTCCAGTCTGACTTATGTAAAGTGCTTCTGGTACAGGGAAAAGGATGCAGTAGTGCAATACAAAATCTTCTGCTAGAGCTGCACATCACTTCACACTTCAGGACTACAGAGGTGCCCTATTTTATCCTTGTACTGGCAGGCACCCAGCTCGGCTGATGGTGTAAGGCCTGCCTCCTGCATAGCCGCAATACTCAGTTGAGCACGAGCATTATTTCCATTGTAAGTTTTCTCCATAAAACACAGGAAGGGATGTTCTCCTTTTATAGTATTGCTGGATGAGTAAAGCGTTTCCTTCCAGCTGGATGCTAGACTCTCAACATTTTCAACATCAAAGTGTTTCACATATTTTGGGAGAACATCCCAACCATCAAGCTGTGGAATCACCCCAGTGCAGGCACTCTCCACACCTGCTGTGGTAGGTGGGGCCTACTAGCATGTCTTTGAATGTTAGCTTAAATCCTCTTGTGCTCTTAAAATCATGTCACTTTGTCGTTATCAGTCTTAGCAGAGAGTAGGAACACACAGAGCTAGGTTCAGTGATATCATTTTGAGCAATATTATGAATAGTTGCTTACTAACAGTATAAAAGCTGAGGATTCTCTGCACATACAAAGACTGTAACTGATCAACCGCTTTCATATACTATATCCATTACCATAACACTTCAAAATGCAAAGGCCTAAAAGACTTGTAGCACAGGGCCTTCAGATTCTGTCTTTGCTCACTCCATCAGTAAATAAGTAAATTAAGTTTATCAGTTACGTCTTAAGAATGATACCAAATAAAATTAAGTACACTACCAAAGAGGTCCCACAAGTAGATGGCAGACAGAAAACAAATCATCTAAAGGTCATCAGCAATCCAGGAGACGCAGGTGGGAGCATCAGTCAAAGTACACAAAGTACAGAAAATAACCTGTTCATTTTTTTTCAGTGTTTTTTTTCCTATGAGCAAACGACAGATAAACGAGCTTTTAGGGAACAGAAGTCCAAAACCATCTGAGCCAGGACTAGGTACAGGCTGTAGATTGCCACCCTATGTTCACTGTTTAAATCGTAAAAACATGAGCCAGATATTTTTTACTTTACACTCTGCTTGAGAAATCTCAAAAAAATGCAGCAGATCAGTGTTTCCCCACCTCCTCCCCCACAACAAGTGAAAAATGACCCAAATAGGAGGATGTATCTGCTGCAGATTAAGCCAAGCATTGTTCAGAATTGGCTTCAAGCCTAGCATTGTTGTAGAAAACTTTTGCAGTCAGTGTATGAGCTCAGTCAAACTTCATATATTTAT